GACGTGTGTCAAAAAAGAGCAGACAGCTTTCTCTCGTTCTTGCCGCGGCCGTCGTAGATCCGCGTTAGGTATTACGTAAATTACGTGACGAGGGATGATTCCTAAACCGGGGGATCTCTGTTCGAACACGGCTATGATTGCAGATTCCTCAAGGTTACGTCAGGTTTGTCTCGATCGGGCCTGCGCACCTCTTTCGGTTTCGGGACGAGAATTGGTCCGAGACGGCCTCGCGACGCGCCTCGCGATTCGTCTCGGAATTCTTTTCTCAAGGAGGACGTTATCGCTGTTTTGGAGCTTCACTGACCGGCGGGGACCGGACGGTTTCTTACGGAATTTGCATAAATCGCATTCTCTCGAGTGTCCGGGAAATGTCGGCGAACTGTTTACCGGAGAGACGGAAACAAAACGGAGGTCGTTACTGGGTCGCTCACGCGTCACACGCGCGCTATTGATTCGGTTTCCTTGCGGCAGGATGACAACCTAGGGTAACCTAGCACGTTAATCGCGCGCGCTCGCGTGTACGTGCGTGTGCATATGTGCGTGCGTGCGTGCGTGCGCCGCGTGTGTGTGTATGTAGGGGCAGGTTCGTAGGCTAGGTTACGGTGAATCGGCATGCAGGATTAGTCACGAGCAAGCTTGCCTCTGGGTAATGACAGCTGCTACCAGTATGCGCTATTCTAGTCATCAACCGCAACTATCAACGCCTTCAACCACCAACGTCCGGGTAATAGTTGTTGTTCTCGGGACGTAACTTCGCGGATAATGACGGGAATTCGCAACCAATAATGTCGAAAATCCGTTTCCACCGATTTGCTTCAAAGCGGACCCGAAATTCAACGTATCCCGGAAGCGACGCGAGAGTGCCCGGGGAAAGCCCAATCGAATTTTTAGCAGAACGTGTAGTCGCAGAGATTTATTCGGGACTAACAACAGGCGGCACGAAAGGCACGCCTAGTCTCCTCTATCCGGATTTGGGAATATAAGCCTCGCGTTAATATTCGTCGCGAGACGGTACATCGTTTATCGGGTATAAGCGTCGATCAATTTTATATTCTACCTTCGTCCCCTCCACCCCCCCCCCTCCCCCGCGTCTCTCGATTTACTCGCACGATCGCGAGGAAAATGTTCTCCTTCTCTTTCGCCGCGCCGCGGCTGTGCATCCCTCCGTCATGTCCGGACGCACTTTGCCGAAGAGTACAAGTACTCTAATTCCAAACTACTCCCTAACCGGCCGCATCATCGACGATGGCCTCCGTTAACGCTCGAGCCACGAAGCACCTTCGGCAGATGCGAAGGAGCACCGGGGCGGCGCGAAGGAGCTCTTTAAATCTTTCCTTTTTCCCTCCCCTGCGCCTCGATCGTCCACTCGGTGGGCACGGCTCTTCGGTTTCGAGGCTGTAATTTAGCGCAGTTTCGACGTCGTGTAATGCTGGAGAGACTCACGTAACACACTCGGTAAAGCAAGCGTCCACCGGCCAGGGACGAGGCACGAAGGGGATGCGCCACCAAATTGGGCCCGGCGAGTTGCAGCCGCTAAAGAGACGGACAAGGAGAAGAGAGCGGCCGCTTATAATATCGCGGTACGACGGCGGCCGGATGGCCGCCGTCGTCCATCCATGAAACTCGAAAACATAATAGGCCAGCTAGACAGGGTTAGTCGCAATCGTGCCAGGTTCTTCGCATTTTTCGCTCGCGACGCGCGCGTGACTGCGGTGAAATTTTGCGGTCGACGACCGCCAGCGCGACGCAACAGTTTGACAGGAATCCGCCTCGCTCCTTTTCTTCTCATCCTTCGAAGACATCGAGGCTCCGATTCCTCCTCCTCCTCGGAATCTTGAGTGGTACAGACGCGTTCGCGAGATTAACTCTCTTCGTACTACGTTCGGCTTCGGTGATGGTCGCATCACCGGCTAGAGAGGCCGAGTTGATCTTATTCCGTGGGAAGAGAGTCAAGACGCGGTGCGTCGTATTGTTCATTGCGAATATCTGCAGTTCCCGATGCAGATCTGAGATTTGAGTACACTTTGTAGTACGATCTGCTCTAGTTCGAAGTAACTCTATCGGGTCTGCTTAAAACGGCGAGATGGCACGCCGCCGCCCTCTGACACGGGTTTGAATATTTAAATGTCACCAACTGTTCGAAGAGGAGAAGGCATGTTCGTTCCGGAGGACACGTGTGAGACCAGTCAGATTTGACGACGCAGCCGACGACCGCGCTCTTGAATATGCTCGCGGAAAGTTCAATTGCGACGAGTTGCGGGGCGAAGGGAAACTGCATCCGCGACCCCACTGTCCCTTCCTGTTGCACACATTTCTTTCTTTGCTAACAGCCAACTGACTGAATTTTTATCGAGAGAGCGCTAAGGTTCTCATTTACGTTACGCGCTTGCATTCCGAAATCCCGCGGCATTTGCGCGGATTAACATCGCCGTTTATCTCACGACATGTTCGTACATGCCTAATCGCCCGGACTTTTGTGGGAAATGCAGTCTTGGCCGAAACGGCTTTGCGTGGCCGGCGCGAGAAAGCGATCGCACCCCGTCCCTGTAACCGAATGTAAATTCTAGCCACGTATAATCTCCAGGTCTGCGAAATCCCCAAGGGTGCGATACTCTCTCCACTCTGCAATCCCAAGTCAGAAAACGCGGAGCTGACGTATTATAAAAACATGAAAATCGATTCCTTTATTCAGACATCATCGATATCTATCCGGCGAGAAACATCGATAAAGGCAAGAAACGCCGGGCACGAATAGTTAATCGAGAACGAAAGTTAGACACATAACTAAACAACTAGAGAAAAATGGTACGTCCTCTGTGCGCGTTTCGCGATAATAATTGGAGATTTGCGTTAATCTGGCTCTCTCTCTCTCTCTCTCTCTCTCTCTCTCTCTCTCTCTCTCTAATGCCGGTATGTCGCTGGCCAGTTCTAATCGCGAAATTTCAACGAGTGACGTCGAGGGAAAAAGAGAAGGAGAGAGGCAGGGAGTGATGGAGAGAGAGAGAGAGAGAGAGAGAGAAAGATTGAAAGCACGTCTGGTCGGTACGCAGCTTATCTCGCCGTTATTCGCGTTATCCCTCGGCTCTCCGGCGAATTACTTGAGTCCAATCGGGCGTGCGATCGGTGGTGCGCGACAGGGTGGCGTGAAGGGGACGCCGAAGGGAGGGATGGAGGGAACGGGTAAGAAGAGAGGATGTCCCTCTTCCTTCCCGCTTCTCCCGCTCCTCGAGAGACTCTCCGAACAAGAGAGGGCGCCAGGTGGACGATCCTCTGAGAACGGTTCGGCGGAGGCTGCCAGGTCGGGAGTGGACCGCCAGAGAAAGGGCAGTCGCGGCGAGGCAGAGGCAAGGGGACGGCGGGGTGGATCCGTAGGATCGACGATGAACGACTAGGGCGAGTGAGTGAGCGAGAGAGTGAGAGTGAGAGTGAGAGAGCGAGAGAGAGAGAGAGAGAGAGAGAGAGAGAGAGAGAGCGAGAGAGAGAGAGAGCGAGAGAGAGAGAGAGAGAGGGAGAGAGGGGGCAAGAGAGAAGCAGAAGATAGGCAGAAGGGCAGGTTGGCCCAAAAAGTCGTGCAAGAGTCAAGGAACTCTCCGGGACGGACCAAGGACCGACGGCGGTTTTCTTGCCCCTCCTTAAACCACTCGTTAGATGTTGCTTCTCTCTTTCTTCTCTTTGCCTCTCTTTCTTCCCCCTCCCCCTTGTTCGCGCACTCTCCTCGTCTTGGTCCTTTCATTCTACCTACCTACCTACCTACCTACCTACCTACCTACCTATCTACCTTCCTTCCCCGTTTCCTCTCGTCGACGGTACCGTCGGAGTCGGGATAAGTCGGACCGCGTCGGAGAGAGGTGGAGAAGAGTGGCGGCGGGGAAACGGCACTGACCTAAAGCAACACGGTCGGCAGTCGGATCCCAAAGTGAGGAGGAGAGAAAGAATGCCGGGGCTGAAAAGGGAGCAGCCGGCCGCGAGGGAGGGCGACGGAACGGCGGGGAAAATTAATGGCGACGTGCGCACGACATTTTTGCGGGCCGACGTCGGGAGTTTTCATCTTCCGCGCGCCGGAAGAGATCGTCTTCTTCGGGGGCGGGATTGTCGCGCGGGAGCCAACCCCGGCACGAAATTCTCGCTTGTTAAGTGGAGGCATTTGTTTTACGTAGCGAAGCCGAGTGAAACATGGCCGCGATAGTTCCCGGGCAAAATCTACGGACATTCTCTCTCTCTCTCTCTCTCTCTCTCTCTCTCTCTCTCTCCCTCCCTCTCTCTCTCTCTCTCTTTCTCCCTCCCTCTCCCTCTCCCTCCCTCTCCGACATTTTGATCAATGAAAATTGATCTCGGGGAAACCGGTCGCGGGAGAATTGCGCAAAGAGCACCGACTTTTGCGAATTGATAAACGAATGAAAGACATTATCAATTAACGTACCGTTGCCACGAGAAAGAGACGGAGATAGGGGGAGATATTAAACGATCGTGTTAACGCACGAACATCTCATCGCGCGAATGCCCGTACAAGTGGCGCGGGTCAGTTTTTCTTTATTCCGAGATATACGGACGTTTATTGAAGCCGTCGCGCGCGAGAGCGCGCCGCAGTAAAGTACTTAACTCTGTTTCACTACAAAAACCGACTTACAACACTTCGCCATCCGACCCTCCGTATAAACCATCAGCGAGCGGCAACCGGATGGATTAAATTCGCTCACGGGAAAGATCGATGTCGATCATAACGTCGCGGTAACGCCAACGATCGTTCTCCCAAGAGAGATAGCGAGAGAGAGAGAGAGAGAGAGAGAGGGAGGGGGGACCCGGCGCTTCTCGATTCGTTACCGAGATATTTACGGCGAGGCGTTCCTTCTTTGCTTTGCTCTTCTGTCCGGCGCGATCGCGTATATTACCGTGATAAGACTCGTCGAGAAAGAGAGAGAGAGAGAGAGAGAGAGAGAGAGAGAGAGAGAGAGAGAGAGAGAGAGAGAAAGAGAGAAAGAGAGGGAGAGAGGGAGCCATACCGTTGGGATTCCAATTTCATCGACCGGATCGTGAACCTGTTTCTGTGAGACCTTAATATCCGTTCCTGGTGCTTCCACTCGTAAGGTCCCGTCCGATCGGGAGGCCTTCGATCTTCCTACTCTCGTGACACTTCATCCACGTTCGCTCCGATATCGTTCCCCGCCGTAACTTCTCGTCCGGAACGCCGTGGATGCGGAGCGGCGGCCCTTTTCGCTCCCGTTCCTGCGGAATACGCATTACAGCGCGTAATTGTTTGTAATTGCGGCGGATTATTACCGAGCGGAAGAGCCGCGAGGTGAGATGATGGGGAGGGAGGGAGGGAGAGTTATGCCGCTTCTCTTTCTTTCGCGACGGAAAAGTTTAACTGACGAGTCGCACTCGGGACGATTATTTATACAGCGCGAACAAGCACTTGGCGGACTGCGTTGTATCGCGACGGCGAAAGAATTCGCGTCCAATAAAGTTGTATTTTATTTCTGTCGTGCACAGTCCGGCTCGCGCTCTCTTCGCGCATTCTCGTTACGCCCGGCGAAGTTTCCCCGAGACGCGGTTCCGCCATCGCGGAATTTTAGCGAAATCGCTCGGGGAATGCAGTCTGCTCGAAAAAAAAAAAAAAGGCGCGCTTCTGCAAGGACACGCGCTTGTTCATTTTCTCCGATGTGTTATCGACACGCTGGCTCATCTAGCGAGATGCGTGTCCCGAACGAACGATGTCCCGAGGGAGCGATTCTGTGAAATTTGATATCGATCAATCCCACAGAAATACATCGCGCGAGTTTCTTCGCGACAAAAATTTATCGAAATTGCGGACTCCCAGGCGCGACGGAAAAAGAGAATAACGGGGAAATTAATTTCCCGTCGACTCGCGACTCGCGAGAGAGTTCACTCGTTACTCTTCCATCATCTGCCCCTATTTGTCCCCTTTGCGACGTGCAATCAGACGATATTCGATACGTCCTTTCCGAGCGATCTGAAGAAACTTTGAGCGGAAAGCGCATAGCGTCTTCCGGTTGCATCACGCCACGTCAGTTCCCACGAAAATTCCAACGAACAATCACCGAGCATGTTTCACTTTCCCGCATTGACAAGAGACTCGCGTGTTCACGAATATTTTTCTGTTAAAAAAAAGTGATAAATATGCATAAAATGTCGTATTTACAAAAATGTTCATAAATTATTCCCTTTTGTGTTTTTCCTTGTTTTTTTTTTTTTTTTTATAATTCACGCACACGCGCAAAAAAATTTGTTCGCGTCTACATATGTAATTTTTTGCGGAAAAAGAGGATGCGCGTTCCAACGGGGAGGCGGCGCGGCGTTTCGCATTTGTGAATTTCGGAAATTCGTCGGTTCTCGGCCAATTCTATTATACAATAGATTATAGGAGATTAATAATATTAATCTAATATATACAACTCGCGATAAATACGTGTGCGCGCGCGTCGCCGGTATTTTTCGTGTACGTTTGTTACGTGGCCCGATGCCGGCTGTAGTTGATTAAAAACGAGTCAATTTGAATCAATTAGCGAATGCATGTGTAAAACATGGTGACGATGAGTTACTGATAAAAGCGCGCGAGACACACACACATAGGTACGGGAAATCTGTCGGATGCGTTCTCTGCCGCGCGCGCACACACGCACACACGCGCGCGCGCGCGCGCGCACATGCACGCACACCGCTTCGCGCGGCGCGCGTATTATTCGAATATTTCACGGCAAATGTTTCCATCTCGCCGTCCACGTGGCGTACATTTTTCACCATTTTTTGGTAATTCAATACGTCGCACATACATAATACAGTTAGCGGCGCGAAAGAGCTGACGATAATTGATCACGTCGCAGGAATAACGTTTGACCGCGCTGTAATAATTTTTATCGCCGTTACACTTTTCATCGACCGAAATGGCACGCATGCATGGTGCGGGACAGCGGAATTATTTGGCACCTTTGAAAAAGTCAGCCGTAAAATAAATCGCCGGCGAAACGGCGCGCGAGTTGTTTCGCGGGCGGCCGCTATTTATATGTCATCGCGCGTCCCGCGGGAGGAAAGGGAAAAAGAGAGCATCCACTCTCTTCATTACGCTCCTTCCGTCAAATTGCGCGATTTCGGAATTTCCCCTTGGGAATCCTTGATCTCTCAAACTGTATAAAACGAAAAGCTTTCCCTCCCTCCCTCCCTCCCTCCCTCCCTCCCTCCCTCTCTCTCTCTCTCTTTCACACTCGGGCTAATTAATGTTAAAGCGCACCGCACGTCCGAGTCGAACGTTGGCTCCGAAATGTCCGAACCTCAGAATTTCGTTTGAATTCCAAGGAGGATTTTGCGAATTCCATCGGCTACACGAGTGCACTTCGACGCGAAACGGGTATTAAATCTCATGGACGGCTCGCGAGTCGAAACTTACCGCGTTTCTCGCCGAAGCCTTCAGGATGGGTCTTTAAAGTGCTCGTAGATCCCACGCAGGATATCGCCCCACCCCGGTAACGCGAGACATTTGAAATTACGCGGAATATCTAAACTGAAAGGGGGGAGGGGGAGCTTGCTTCGTCGACAATAGTACTCGTTGCTCGCAATATCGTCCTCATAATCGGTTATTAAAGAAACGGCTCCTGGATGCGGGAATAACCGCAGAACCAGTAGGCATCCTTAAGACCGACAGACAGAGAGAGAGAGAGAGAGAGAGAGAGAGAGAGAGAGGGGGATGGCCAATGTCGCGGATCCCCGATGAAAGTAGCGAGCGATTCCTATTTCCTCCCCGCAAAAACTTACCGTTTAAGGAGCTGAGGCAGGCAGCGGGAAAGGACGTGGGAAGACGAGCGGGTCGCGGCTGAGGCGCATTGTTTCGGCACGACAGACGCGGCCACACCTGCGCGAACTTTCCACGCAGAGCCGTCGCGCAGAGATGGTGCATCGTCGGTGCAAATAGAATTTCAAGAGTCGCGCATTAAACGCTTTATATCGCCGGCGCGCAACCTTTTACGACCTTACGACCCGTCTCTATGGTGACACCGCGAGGACCTTTTGTACGACGATGGAGAAGTAACGCTCGTGCCGACGAAACTTCTGCGCGAGATAAACAGCGGGCCTTCGGCCGCCTCACTTATTTATTCAGTATGGTTTTCAGCAACGAGCAAAGACGCTCGCGCGCGCGCGCGCACCGAGAAAGCATAAACTTGCCTCATCGTTGTTGTTTACGTTCGACCACGCGCATTTAAACGCGCGCGAGGCTCGCGGCTACGGAAAAATGTTGGCTCCGTTAAGTATCGGAAAGTAAATCCGTCAAGCAATTTGGTTTTCTCTCTCCTCCAAGAAGCAGGCGCAACGTGTCTCGCTCTCGGATCAATGCTTGATTAGACTAGGGCGGATCGATTGATGCACTTGTGATTGATTCACTCACTGATTAATTTGCTGATAAGAAAAGCGGGCAATGATCTTTCTAGCCGGCTGCTCTCACCGAGTGAGCAAAGGAAAGTTTTAGCACCGTGAGAATTAACGACTATGTAGAGACGTATGCTACGTATCGTATGCGACGAACGATTTGCAAGGAACGGGTCAACGAGCGAACGAGCACGCGCCGACGGCGTAATCGCGTTGCTCGTCAAGTGCGCCGCGTCTCTCGCGAGCGGAATTCCGTCAGCTGATTTTCTCGGACGACTCGGACGTCGGGCCCGTGCGACCCGATTCGCCGGCGAATATGAGCGCGCGTGTCTCGGCTATTAGATCCATAGATCACTTTGTCGCCGATTAAGGCCTCGGTCAACGAGCGCGTGCGCTTCTCCCGTGAGTTCGCGCGAACGCGATCCTACTTCGTGACCCACTTCGCGCGAGCCGTGCCCTCGGCTGAATCGCTGAACGACGCGTCAAACTCGAAGACGTCGCATCTCGCGGCGATCTCCTCAAGTATTAACGAGACCGTTCCGATGACCGTCTAAAAATATCCACCGGCGACGTCGGTGATTAGCAGCGAGCGGCCGCGTCGTGTTTCATCACGGGCGAATCGTTCAGTTATCGTTTCGGGGCCAGCGTGATATTCCCCTTCGCAAGATGGTAAGAGCGCGATCTTAGGAAACGATGGCTGGTGCTATTATTGGGGGCGCAATCGAGATCTGCGCGTGCATGTGGGGGAGCCCGCTTCTCAAGAATTCGTCCGTTAAAAGGATCAATTTGAATTATTGATTTTTGTGCAATTTTAAGTGGATTTCATCATCACTTTAACCCTCCGATCAAACTTCCGATCGATTTGAACGAACGTTCGAATAATCATACGAACGCGGGGAGATTTTACTTCTATATTCGTCCTGCGAATTTCGTCGAAACCTGAAGGACCGATGGGGATCTCTCAAAGTCTAACATATTATGCGGATCGTTTTGCCATTATATCTGGCTCTGCTAATTTTCATACTCGGCATTAGCATACTTTTCTTAAGCGCTACGTATCTCAAACGCTCAGCTTAGCTGCTCGTCGAAACGCGCTGCTCTCCGGAGCGCGGAACCCTCAAAATCCCAAACTTGCGGCGCATATTACAGCTAAACGATCATATTCCGCGGTAACGGAGTTCTCGATAGCTTAAAGACGGAGACGCGCATCTCCCGCGTCGGAGCAACTAATCGTCGCCGATCAATATATCCTACGCGCACATACGCGCGATATAACTGCACGTAATTAACACCCATTACTAACCACTCAGTGCGCGCTCGCGCGGTCGCGCGTGTTTATGGCTTCTCGGCAGAGACAGAGCGGGATTGCGGGGGAGGGGGGAGAAAGCTAGAGAGAGAGGGAGAGAGAGAGAGAGGGAGAGAGAGAGAGGGAGAGAGAGAGAGAAACCCAGTCCCACGAAATTAGTTCGCAACCGAAGAAACAACCGAAACGATCGAGATTGCACTCGGGACGATCCGATATATCCGGTGATGCCTATAATTCCATAGCTCCCGTAGAGCGGAGTACATTCCTCGTGAAGGGACGACCGAGATGGAAGAAGCGAAAGAAGGGATAGAACGGAGGAGCCGAGGAGAGAAGAAGAAGCAGAGGAAAAAATAATAAGAATAGGATGAACGCACGTACGTACGTAGAGGGAATCGCGCGGTGCGTGTGCGCTACGGCGAACTACTTTTTGCCGGACCCTCTCTGCTCTGGTCTGTCGGGCCATCCTTCGTGTATTCCGTGCACCTCCTTCGGCTTCTCGTCCCTTCGGCAGCCATCGCCTCCCCCTCGCCTTGCCCGGCACCCCGATCGTGCCCGCCCGGCTTTGGCCTCGGCTCTCTTTTATTTCTCTAGATTTCAAAGCGCTCAAACAGGTTTCAAAATCCCGCGTGCGGAAAAATCGGAGTGCCTCCTCTCCCCCTCTTTCGTTTCTACCTGGCTTACCGCCTCCTCTCCTCCGTCCTCCTCCTCTTCTTCTCTTTTCTTCTTGTTCTTCTTCGTCTTTTCCTGCTTCTTCTTCTTCTTCTTTTTCTTCTTCTCCTCCTCCTCCTCCTCCTCCTCCTCCTCCTCCTCCTCCTCCTCCTTCTACTACTACTACTAGTACCAGACACACACCGCTGGACGTTGTAAATCCTCGCTCGTTGCATCGAGCCAACTTTTCGTCGCGGTCCATCATTTTGTCCTCTCCGCGCGTCTTCTCTTTCCCCGCGCGCGCGCGCGAGTACGACGTCGCGTTGTTTTACGAGATATGCGTATAAAGTAAAGGCAAGGGGGAATATCGGATACCATTACTTTTCGTCCGCGCTATGCTGGGAAACTGGAGAATCATTTTCTCGTACATCTGGAAAACTGCATCGGCTGTCACCGTCGGGAATATTACAAGAATTTCTTCCTTCCTGCCTGTTTTATTTCTACATAATTCATTACGTCTCGTATACGGTTGTCGATATTTACTGTTTATTCTTTCTCTCTTTCTCTCTCTCTCTCTCTCTCTCTCTCTCTCTCTCTCTCTCCCCCCTCTCTTCCTCGTCGTACGTGTGAACCTCCTTTCTTACGGCAGACATTTCCCCCCGAGTCTTACTTTACATTACTCTGCAGACGCAAGGTCCATGTGCTCTCCTTTATGCTTGTAATAATAGTGAAAATATTTGTCCTCCTCTCGCCCGTTCTATTCGATTTCGCGAGCTTGCCTGAAACCCTGTAATAATCCCGACGAGCAATCGGCCGATCTTGGAAGCCCAGTCCTTCCGCATTGTTCCCGAAGACCCAAGCCGTCTGGCACTGTAGAAGCGTGAGGTTGCAATATGTTCGATGAGCCCGGGAGATCTTATATTGTTCGCCTGGCGTCAGATTAGATTTCGATTAGGCGGAAGCCGAGGATGACGCCGTACGTGCTGTACGGGGCTTTTTCGCGCCGCTCACGAACGCCAGGACGATAAATCAACGCGCTCTCGCGAAAGCCTTTTTTCGTCGAGGCTTGTCCGCCCCCTCCCTCCCCGACGTATCTTGTAACCCATCTCGTGTCGTTATCTCTCGCCTCTCGCGATATTCTCTGCCGAGTCGCGACGAAATCACGGACCCCTGCCGATCAATCATCGCGTATTTCCATTTTGAGTACAACGAACAACGACTTTATCGAACTTTACTTGCTTGCGACGCCAGCAAGTAAAGTTCGCTTGCGAGAGCTTTCCCGCGCGCGCTTTCTCTCTCTCTCTCTCTCTCTCTCTCCCTCCCGTCACCTCTCTCTCTCTCTCTCTCTCTCTCTCTCTCTCTCTCTCTCTCTCTCTCTCGTTTTCCTTATTCTTCCGTCCAAAATAATTATTCGCCATTAAATCAAGCACCTCCACGTTAAATCAAAGATGCGAAATCGCTGAATCTTCAAGTTTGAAGGATATCATCCGTTGTTAATTGCACGGTTCGATTCGCGGCGACTCGCACGCGCGCCGCGTGCAATTACTTGGAGAGGTGTCTACGAGATGAGCCGCACGCGCGAAAAAAAGCGGGAACGGGGGTGGCGGGGAGGCGGGCGGCAGGGCCGAGAGAAATAATATTTGATGCACTCGTGCCTTGGGTAACAGTGCGGCGTCAAAACGAAACGCACACACGGGTGCGATTTTTTTTTCACGAGGTAAAAGCCGCCTTCAAGCAACGTACCTCTCGCGGCGCGAATTCGGTTATTTTGCTCGCTACTCTTTCATTTAGCTCCCTTTTTCGTCCGTTTTTTTAGACCATCGCATAAAGTAATTAGCCGCACATGGTTGGCCGTATACAATCTGCGCTCTCTCTCTCTCTCTCTCTCTCGCTCTCTCGCTCTCTCGCTCTCTCGCTCTCTCGCTCTCCCCCTCTTTCAAGCGCGCGGGCGCATATGCGCCATCGAGAAATCTCGTGTTATTCTACAAATCCGAAAGGGATGTGTACGTACATATGGTGTGTACGTGCATGTGTGTGCGTGCGCGCGCGCGCGCGCGCGCGTACGTGTATGTATTTCGCGAAGGTGTGCGGGTGCGCGAGTACGAAACGCGATAATGGATGATCGATGGATGAAGAAGTACGGTAGGAAAAGAGAGAAAAAGAGAGCCGGTTATTAGTATATTGAGATGGATATTCCGGGACACATACGGACGCGCGCGAGAGAGCCCCGCGCGCGCGTTCGGACATAAACAAAATTTAATAATACTGATGGTGTTACATGTTAGAAATTAGAGTTCGCGATGCCGATGCCGCTCGACGGTGTATTCGCCCCGGTATCGAGTCCCGTCGAGCGTTGGCGCGGCCAAGAAGAAGTCGGTCGGGGCGCCCTTGTCTCGTGTGACAAAGAACAGCTCAACGACTTGGCCGTCGCTGAATGCCCCGAAGCGCCATATTCTCCGTTTGTTGTTCATTCATCGAAATTACGTTTCCATGGGGCGCGCGCGCGCGCGCTTGATTTCGCCCGCCGAATCGGAAGCCGATCGGAGCGTCGTCTGACAACGGGCGTGTTCGCGTCGCCAGACATTCGCAGACCGGCACTACTATTTCCCCGGCCAGCATCGGTGGGGCGAGAGGGTGGGAAAGCGCACGTAATCCTTTATACGTTACTTAAGACACGCTCGCGTCCGGAACAACTTAATACCGCCGGCGCGCGCGCGGATCCCTTTCTTCCTCGCTCGCGGGGGGAAACCGCGACGGAAAATGCACAACGCCGGTGTAACTAATGTCTCGGCATTAGCGTTAAAGAGTGCGAGCGCTCGAGAGAAGAAAAAAAAAAGGAATACTCGAACCTTTTCCCATCGAGGCGTGTAATAATACGCCGGGGACGAGGCGCGGGGGAAAAAAAGTCATCGGCGACGAGACGGGGCCGGCGGGGCGCGGGCAGAGCCGTGGCCGGAGAGAAAGCTTAAGGAGAGGAAGAAACAACATCAATTTAAGCCACATGCATCGCTCTGGCTTCGTATTTAGGTGGATAATCGGCTTACCGTGGCGGCCTGACGGGCAGCCCACTTGCAGCAGCGCGCGAATGCATCTGCACAGACGGTTGCATGCGCCGCGCCGCGCCGCGCCGCGCCGCGCCGTGCTGCGCCGCCGTTGTTGCCTGCCGCCGCTGCGCGTTGCTGCTGCTGCTGCTGTTGCTGCTGCGTGTGCACGCCGACTGTCATTAGCGGGGACTGTTAATACCGAAGGTTCGCGCGTTAATGACGAGGTCCCCGCGTCCGGGGAAAAGAAGAAGGTGGAGAGGAGACGCGAGACGCGCGACGAAGGAAGGAGCGCAGCGGAACGCCGCAGCGTGTCTCTCGGGTCCTGCGCGCGTCACTTTTTGCTGATTGCAAATTGCACGTCTTAAGTTTGCGCGTCGCGCTGACGCGCGAGGAGAGGATTATCGGTGGATTATGCGGCTCTCGGGCCGCGGAGCGCAGCGACGGCGGGATGTGAGCGGTCGAGCTTGACGAGCTCGTTGACGAGCTGATGCCGATTTCGAGTCCGCGACGTTTCGATGCCGCCGGCAGCTCTCTCGGGTCGTCCTTGCCGCGCGCGATAACGGAGGAGGCGCCGGGATATGATTTGAGTTTGGATATTTGGTCCCTTGACATATCGAGCGTTCGGGTGAAAGACGTCGTTAATTCGGAACGCGGGAACGTGTCGGATTTTTCATGCGAATTTTCGGCGAGTTTCGACGGATCGAGAGAGAGAGAGAGAGGGGGGGGGAGAGAGAGGGAGAGAGAGAGAGAGAGGGGGTGGGTAGCAGGGAGGTGAATTAGCGCGATAACATGCGCGTCGCTACGTAAGGTATTCCGCGCGTTTGCGTTAATTAAATTCGTTATCGTTAAAATCATTATCGCCGTAACTATTATTAGTACCGTTACTGTTACCGCTGCTACGACTACCACTATTACGCGGATAATTAAGCGGCTTATGATTACGCGCTAATAGCAACGATAAATAGGTCACGTGCGCGCCGTGTTTATTAAATTATTTTATACCTATGATTCCGAATTGTTACATCGAAACTTTACGATCGCCGTGCACCGATGTGGTGCGGTGCGGTGCGGTGCGGTGCGGTGCGTGCCTGCGTAACGCACGTGCAACGTTGCGCAGTTTTTCGGCCGGATTCGCCAGCCTCACAGAGAGGTATAGAAAAGGCATGTGTAAAGCGGTCGCGTGTTACGCTCTGACAACGCGTATTTCTCATAATTAAAGAAATTAACTTTGTTTGAAGAGGGTCTCGCGGCGCGAAGTAGTAAAATGTAAAAAATATTTTCACGCACGGGGCGCATCACGGCGCGCACGGTAATAGTAATTGTTTCAAACGTGTAAAACGAGAGACGGCGGCTGAAAATATATCAGCGGTTCGCTGCCGGGGCGGGTAACTCCCGCAGCCGAAGTGAGCGTCCGGCAGAAAAACGCAAGAGTGTATCCCGTTTCGCGCTACGCGTCGCGCGGACGATCTGGGGTCGCTGGCAACTTCGTCGCGACATTCAACATTGTGTCCGCGTCCGCTTGAAATGACAAAAGGGGAACAAGATATCGTCGTCTGGCGTCGCCGGGGCTCTCTCGATCCGTCGGGCTCGCGTGTGAGATTTTTCCCCGGGCTTTTTGCAGATTTGGAAAGACAGTGGGACGCGACGGCAGAAATTCAGACGAATCGTCTCTCCTTCGACCCACCGATGTGAACCTGGCAGGCAACTTGATAAAACAAAAAAATTATTCGCAACACGGTCCGATTGTACCTCGTCTGCACCTGCTTGTACCGTTATACTTTTGCTTTCGTTTGTACCACTCGAAGAATAAGAAGATAAAGGGAGGGGGAAAAATAGCCGGCAAGTAAGTATAAGATATCGCAAAACGGCCAAAGCCATCTGAAAGAGAACGCGTTTGTCCCCGTTTGTAGTTTGTACCTCAGAGGAGTCGGAAGTACAGGATCTTCAAAATATGTCGGAAGGTTACTTTCGTACTTCCGGCCCCGTCGAGGAGACAAACGATTCTCTTTCGGATGGCGTTGACCGTTTTCGGATATCTCGTACTTGTTTACTGGCTATTTTTCCCCCGTCCCCCTATCATTTTATTCTTTGAGGTACAAACGAGGCAGAAAGTGGATACAAACAGGCACAAACAAAGTACAATCGAACCATATTGAAAATTTTTTCTTTTCATTAAATCGTTTGCCAGGCCAGGTTCACACGGGTCTCTTCGACCCTCCGGGCCTTTCCCCGGAAATTTCCGCTCCCCCCGCTAACAGCTGATGATTCCGAGAGACACTCCCGCGTGTGTGTGTACGCGTAAGGCATGAAACATAGCGTTTCGCCTCGTGAGCACGGTGGCGCATGGTGGCACGAGAGGAAGAAAGCTCGTAGAAGGTGGATTCTATTTTTTATGCAACTTATTTGCGGCGGGAGAGAGAGAGAGAGAGAGAGAGAGAGAGAGAGAGAGAGACACAAAGAGACCTAACACGCGGGACCGTGTAGCTGCGCGTCGTGTGCATTTGCGTTTCTTCCGTTCTTCGCGGATTCTACCACACTACCGCTGCTTTTCGCGATATCCCGGCGGGTAAGGGGCCGAGTAGGAGACGACGTCGATGTTCAGCCACTGTTCCGCGTAAGTGAAACTGGTTGGCCCACCGGGTGTCGTAAGCTGTCCTAGGTATTACGCTCCTCCCGATTTACATGCGTGTCTCGCTATGGAACACGGTGAAATTTCGCGAAGCGCGAATTACGAATCACCGCGGATTATTCGGAGGAGAAACGACCCTCGGCGGATAGAACATTTCCCGCCGAGTACAAGCGCAATTAACTCTTTGCGCTCCAATTTTACTTAGCCGCGCGGGCGATTCCGTCGGCCTCGGATTATTCTTTTTTCCGCGTCCGCGCGCCGTATCCGGCGGGAAGGTTCCACACTCACGCGGAAATTTGCGACAATTTCACGATGGGACTCGATGAGACTGGAGGAACACTCGACACCCCTCCCTTCCTCCCTCTCGGTGAGTCTCTCTGAAAATTCGAATATACGCGGGATCGAGTAATTGGACATTTTTGTCTCTCTCTGCGAACGAATCGCCGGGTACTCTGGAAATGGCGGGATTTGCGCGACTCGCAAACGCGAGAACGTCCGATTCACGGAATCAATAATCCCGTAAATACACCTACAAGATGGCGCATAGTCGCGAGAGATAGTACAAGTTACGGCACTCGGTAAAGATTGCATCTCGCTCGGTCGCGACTCCCCGGGACTTATCATCAACGGTGAAACTCGATATTCCAAGTCGCCGAAGTCGAAAAAGATCGACGCTGGCTCGCGCGAAAGAAGAGGGGGAGAGAGCTAGAGGCAGAGAGAGAGAGAGAGAGAGAGAGAGAGAGAGACTCCACGGAAATTTCCGCAGGCGATTCGCGAAAGTTTAATGCGCGAAGGACTCGGGTGGAAATTTTCAGAGATCCCATCGGCGCTCGTGTTATTATGTTTGAAAGTAACCATCAGTTATCGGCCAGGGGGCCGGCAGGGGGGGGGGGGAAGGGACAGCGCGATGGCGAGGTATCGAGGACGATTCTTAAATGCAAATATCCATGTGCATTTTTATGCACCGCGCCGAGGCGTGGAACGTCGTAAGCCTTTGAGCACGTCTTTGACTTGCAGATGGCGAGCGAAATTTAGAATGGTAAAGTGGCCGCTTTATGCCGGGCTTACTTATATCTACACAAATATTTGATGGTACGCGAGCCGGCGAATTATGGTAATCGAAATATCGTGAATAATTTAGAGAGCAAGCCGTGTGTGGGCAAACTTCGCTACACGTTCGGCGAGTATATCCAGACAGTTTCGTCAGAGAATGATCATCCTGTATCACGGCGCTCACGCACGCTCGCCCGGAATCACACCGGGAATCGGATATCTCGACACGTCATTATTCGTCTCCCTCCCTCCCTGCCTTATTTTCGACAGCCGACAGAAGTCGGGCGGCACACGCGCGACACAACGCGCGCGCGCGCTGTGGTGGAATGGATTTCTTCGCTGTGCGACCTCCCTGTGCGACACGCGGTAAATTTATCAGAGTTCCGACCGGATCGGGATCGGCCGCCGCGAAATTATTTTGCGCGCGCGCGCGCGCGCGCGCGACACGCGATGATCGCCGATCGCCGGCCGATCGCTCCAATTAACGCGAGAATATTTGCGCTAAAATTACGGCCGGCCGTAGCCGGTTGGGCGAAACCTCGCCCAACCGATGGGTAATCGATACAAAAGTCCACAAGGGTTGGGCCGCCTTAGTGGCCCCGGCAATACGCGCGCACAAACCCGCGTAGCCGGCCGGTCGAGTGCAATTGCACTACACGGGCGCTCGTGAAATGGACTCGCGAGTTCTTGGGAATCGCCCGGACAGAGGAAGCGGCAGGGGTGGGAGAGAGCGAAAAAGAAACGCGAAAGGAAAGCCTTCGACGTTCGAGGTTCTTCGTCCCGCTTCGTCCCGCTTCGTCGTATTGCCGCCCGCGCGAGGAGACTCGAATCCTTTTGCTCGGAGAGAGAGCCCACGGACCGCGCTAATTATATTTCTTCCGAGAGTTTTGCACAACGTCCCCCCGGCACGCAAAGGTCACCAGCGAAACTCTTGCTTCGTTACCTGCGCAATATGTAGTTCGCGCGAGCCGTCTTAACGACGATACGTTATTGCAAATTACGTCGCCGCCATGACGCGCGCTAGTAGCATACACGCTCTCGCCGGTCGCGCGCTAATTGTAATTCTAATACGCGCGCGTATTCAAGGGCTCTCCTCTCCTCCCTCCTCCCCCTCTCCCTCTCCCTCTGCCTCTTTCTCTGCCTCCTTCTCCCCCCAGATATGCGATCGATCCGCGCGGAATTGGATCGAATCTTTGCGTTAAAACGCCCGTCGGCGATAAATCATCGTAGATTACGTCCGTCGCGCCGCGCGCGACGATTAGTCGCGATCTACTACCTTCTCGCGCACAAAGGAGAGGATTTGACAACCGGTTTAGGGGTTAATACCCTTCCACCCGGCAGCGCGCGCGTTTCCGCTCGGGAATTCTCTCGAGCCGGCAATTGGGTGCCCGAGCGATAATACGAGCGT